AAGACTAAATTACATTATAATGTAATTTAGAATGTAATAAAAGTAAAAAAGAGTTTTCATTTAATTTTTTGGGAGAGACTTAATAATTATTTTCCAGGGTTTAGTAGACATCACACTTATCACCAGTTCACTCTACCTGTGTATGCACTTGGAAGACAAGTAGATGCCCATTTTTAACTAAGTAATGTGTATTTATTTTATAGTCTAAAAGTTTCCTGCCATCTTTGTGTATGGTACAATAGGACATAAGGAAAAGTGTGTCTTATTTAATTTACATAAAGGATATACTCTAAAAATTTCTAAAATTGTGAATTAGTACTCTCAAAACAGAAATACAGATATTTGCACCCCAGAAGCCTGCATGTAAGTGCATCTGACCCTGTAGATACTCAGTAAATGTTAGTTGAAACTGGATGTAAAAAACATTTCATTAAAAAAAAAAATAAAATGATGACCCTAAGTCCTAGATGATTTTTGGTATTCAGTGTTTGTAGACATGCAGTTGGTTCGTTGTTCCTGTGGCTGAGTCTTCACAGGAATTGTCTCCTTGTCTGCAGTTACTGAATTCTTGTGTGGAGTTGGGGAATTCGGAGCCCAGGGGTATTCTGCAGCTCTGTATTTTTATCTGTGATTAGCCTTTCTCTTGAATGAATCTTATCCTAATTTCCTGATTCATAATTTGCTTTTGCAAAGCTGTCTAGGATTTCTTTAAACAATCAAGCTCTCTCCGTATCTCAATATTTCTCCCCACCAGAATTTATTGCCATGTACACTTACGAGAGTTCTGAGCAAGGAGATTTAACCTTTCAGCAAGGGGATGTGATTTTGGTTACCAAGAAAGATGGTGACTGGTGGACGGGAACAGTGGGCGACAAGTCCGGAGTCTTCCCTTCTAACTATGTGAGGCTTAAAGATTCAGAGGTAAACCCACATTAACTGTTTCCTCTCCCTTTCTGTGTGGTGGTTCTCTTTGCGGGGAGTCATGATGTTTGACATTGGAACATTCTTTTGGGTTTTACTAAACTCTAGAACGGGACAGTAACTACAGTGTGACCTGCAGCTCTCTGACCTTTCCATTTGGTGCTGTGGAGTAAACATTGGTTTCCCATAAGCAGAACTCCAGGGGCTAAGTGGAGGCTGCAGCGAGGGGGTTGGTCAGCATCAGTGGGTTATAATGCTCAGTATTAACCTCAATTCCTATGTGTAATTGACATTGGAATAAACTTTTTTGATTTGTTCTTCATGGTCATTAATTTTTAGATTTCCCATAGCATTATTTTAACCATGTAAACAAGTATTCTGGTGATACTTGGCCCCTGAATATTAGGGCAGTAGAAAGTTTCTTAAAATTATGTTTTTTGTCTATATAGTAGGGAAGTACAATATCTAAGAGTTTGGTACTCTCTTGGGATACTATTATCCTTATAAATTGGAAATGGCTGTCATTGTTGTTAAATGGAACTGTAAAAAATTGATTGCATAAAATGTGTCATCAAAGTTTAGTACAGGTTTAATGAAGAGAGATACCACAGAGTACAGGAACCTGTCATAGTGGCCAAGTTCAAGTCAGTTGAGAGTGTCAGGATATAAATGTAGTAATTTAACAGATCCACATAAGTATATCAAGAGGAATGGGCTGGTGCTACCTCTCCCCTCCCCGCACCCCATGCTGTCAGGGCACAGTTCTTTTTCTCTCTTACCTCCTAGGCGCTGAGAGGAAAGGTGGGCAGGGAACTTTCAGAGGCTGCGTTCTGGAGTGTGAGTGAGTGGACAAAGCTCTTGCTGTCTCTCATTCAGGTGCCAGAGAGTGTCTGTGGGCTCTTCTGAAGGCCCCTGCACTCCCAGAGGCCCTGTGGGCAGCTGACTTGATGCAGTAGTTTTGCCATTTGCCTTCTCACCTTCCCTGCAGTTGCTAAGAGTAGTTTTATGTGCTTGGGTTTGGTGTGTTTTTTTTTTCTTTTTTTTTTTTTAAGGGGTGTCATTATTGTTGTTTTTTGTTTTTCTTGCTGTAGTCCTGAGAGCAGCTTGCTGAAATTCCTGTGGATGGATTTGTATTAGTTGCCCACCCTTAGAAAATTTGGCAGAGTCTGGAAGAAAATAATTTTCCCCTATAAGACAGCTGGCCTGTTGAACCCCATAGATCAGAGAGGGAGAATTGAACCCTTCTTTAGGCTAGCAAATTGGTTCCAATAAGAATCAACCAGATGATATTTCAGAGGGCTGAGGGAAATGCTAAAAACTAAATTTGATTTCCATTATTATCCATGAAAACTCTTAAAGTGATATTACCTTTTGTATAAGTTAAAATACAAAAACCATTTTGGCTTGTATTTGAATTTGACTTTATTAACTTTATTTAGACTTTACCCAAGTTCTATTTACATAGGAGTTAATGCATATTTAAATAACATTATAATAAAAATAATCTGCATCAACACTGAAAAATATACAAAAGCCATTACTTGTATTTTATTTTAATAAATTAGTTTTCTATTCACAAAATCTTATGAAATCAGTGAATTTTTTAAAAAAGCAACTCTTTTTTAAAGGTAACCTGTTATGTTTTCTAAACCATATTCATAAACTATTAGCTACAAAAGAAGTGACAGTACTAAAGATTTTTAGACAAATGTTTAGCTATATTGTTCAGTAATGGGGGGAGGGACTAAAAAGTTAGCTCTTCTGTCCTACTTAGTTACAGAGTTCAGTGTTCAAGCAAAGCATCTTACCAAACTTAAAAGCCAGACAAAACTTCAAACTGGCCTGGGGAAGGGTTGTCCTGTCCTGGAGATCCTTCTGGGACATATGGCCTGGGAACACATTTAAACACATGCAGCCAGAACAGAATCTGGCCTCCTGAGTGTACCCCAACCTATGATGCTGGGTGTATTTCTCAGAAGCAGCACATTGGAGCTCCTTGAACTCTGTGGTTGGGTATTGCTAATTTCTTTCTTGTTACAGAATATAGAGAGTGTATTATCAGCCTGTATGGGAGAAGTAACTGGTCACTCAGAATCTTGTTTCATTGTTTTTTCTTTATTTAATATGTAGCCCCCCAAAATAGCAGTAAAGATTGATAGTTTGGAGTTGTAGTCATTAATTCAAGAAAACATAATTAGAGTAAAAATTTGACCGAAACCTTTCCTGGTAAATTGTTATTAATTTCAATGACCAAAATACAAGGACAATGATAAGTTGTGTTCCTGGTAGATAAATTGCATGTTTTTATTCTTATAGTAACTCTCATTTAGTTTATTAAACATTTCTGCTTTATTTTAATTGGAATACTTAATTTATTGTGAGTTAGAGACTTGAGGGTGAGCATGAATTGAGACTAAAGCACTCTGTCACAGAAGATTGCCTTCTGGCCCCTCTCCTGGCTCTTGTGGTCTCTGTTGCCGACTCAGCTGGTTTAAGTCCATGAGCATCCATGAGAGGATTTCACCTCAAGTGCTTCTGGAACACAGTAGTGGGAAGAAGTATGGCCTGCTTCTGTGGATCGTGCTTCCACCACAGATAGAGAAGTGTCAGTGTTCAGACAGTGTGAAATTGGGAGGAAAGGATATGTAGGACAGCAGCCCCCTCATTGCCAACAGCAATGGGGAAAGGGAAGATTCCATCATCCCTGTGCCATTTTAGTTCTTTAAAAAGGAAACCTGGAGCAAATGTAGAAAAACACAACATTTTAATGTATTGAATATGGGTGGTAGGCTCATGGGTATGTCTTAGAGTTTCTGAACTTCTTGTATGTGAACAATATTTCCTAATAACCATTTGAAAACAAAGTACCAGCTGAGTGTGTGGGGAGTAGTCCTCCTGACATGGATCCTTCCATTGGATTTTCCCAGGTGTATGATATGCCCACACCACGGGTCCATACCTGAGCCCTCTGGGGTTTACAGTCCACATACTTTGCTCTTTTCTTCTCTTAAGAGTAAAAGCTATACATTTTAAGGTACTTATTTTGTCCAGGTATTCCTAATACACATGCTCTTGTCAAGTGAAACAGTGCTTTCCCTGGAAAGAAAAAGGGGATTTAGGGTCTCAAATGAATTTGTTCATTAATCGTGTTCTAAGTTACATGATCAATACTCCTCAACATGCAAATGAGACCTTTTGCTCTGTTTTAAGGGCTCTGGAACTGCTGGAAAAACAGGGAATTTAGGAAAAAAACCTGGTAAGTTACATTCCCTAATGCTTATGTTTTATTGTTATGAATATAATTGATAGCTGCTTCCAATCTTTGTTTATTAGGGCCAGCAGTAAAGTATAGACCAAGAAACCTTTCCTGAGAGTGGTTATAATAGGCTCTTTCCTTGGACCCTACTAATAACATGCACATGGTTATGAAGTTTCACTGTTTCACATGGGGAGTGGGAACATCACCAGACAGAACGTTCTCCTGGGTTATGAAGAAATAACTCAAGCAAAATTGTAGAAGATTGCCATACAAAGAGGTGTAAAACTGGAAGTTCACTGCTTTTTAGTTATCTTCTTGTTAGGCTTGGGAGGCCCTTTTTCATTTTCTGACAGCACTTTAAACCCAAGATACAAAGATCAGAGGAGCAGCAAATATTATCATCTTATAGGTCCCGTTAATTTAGAAGCCATTGGGTGGTTTTCCTCAGGTGGACATTGGAGGTACAAAATTATAGTCATACCTCTATGTTCAGTTTTACTTTATTTAAACAAAATCACATGTTCTAAAAATAGTAGCTTGAAAGAGAGCAGAAGGAAGCAGTGTGAAATAATATGGTTTGTGTGGCCTCTCTTCCTGGTCTAAGTTATTTGTGCTTTTTTGTCTTCATATCCTTAGGAAATTATAGGTTGAAACAGTCATTGCTGTGCTGAGGAATTTGTGTGTCAGTCTGGTGCTCACATCAGATGGGCTTACTCAGCCAGGAAAAGAAGGGGTTTCAGGGGGTCTAGGCTTCTAGTCAGACTCCAGATAGTGGGCCATCTGACCAAATTTCTGCTTTAATTGTGAGTCTTCTTTCTACCTTTTCAATGTTTGTCATTCCAAAGGGTCAAGATGTTTCATATGTGATGCCCAGGTGAACTTAACTTTACACTGGAACTAATTTCTGCTCAGGGACACAAGAGGAAGCAGAGAATGTCAGGGTAGACCGCTGACTCATATGTCAGGTTCTTTGAAGAGCAGAAACATCAGTTGCCAAGTAGGATACTAATTGGGACTTTCTCCAGACCGAAAACTCTCCAGAGCTTGTCCTTGGCACATTGCAGGAGAGTCCTCATCCCTGTGTAGTTCTGGGCAAGAGCTCTCAGGCAGAGCCTGACTCTGGACTTCCCTGAGTTCTCTGAAGCATCTGGCAGGCCAGGGCTGCCCCATGACAGGTTGGTGCTCCTGTCATAGTCGTCAACCTTGGATTGTAGAACAGGGCAGTGGCAGGTGGCTGAAGTGCTGCAATCTTATTCCTTCCCTGGAGTTAGTGGAAAAGTAGGAGATCATATCAGAGTAGGGGGCCTTTATCTTTTCATCTTTCTCTACTTCATTTCTTCTTCCTTCTTTCCTTCCTTGCTCTGCCCTGTTCTTTTAGGAACTATTATGACCAAGAGTGAGAGTAGAGGAATAGAGCAGTTTGTTCTGATTGCTTCTAGAAGTTCAGGAAGCTGTGGCTGTAAATGTGCCAGAATTCATCAGAGCAGGAGTCTGTCTTTTCATGCTTGACCTTGGTGCCAGCAGAAATTTGCTTTTCAGTGCCTGGGCTGGTCCTGCTGGAATTTTTTCTGTGGGATTTCTAATATTCAGGAAATGTACAGAATTGTTTGCATTTTTTTCTATGTTGAATTATTGTTTTTTTATTAAATTCCCTTCTTAATTCCAGGTCCTTCCTTTAAATTGACATAAAAAGATGTAAACTTGCATTGCTATGATTCATACCAGTTCAGGGATCACCTCCAAATGTGAGCCATAAAGAAAATGGTCTTGTTGGTAGGAGGGAGAGTCTGAAGCCACAACATAGAAATTTGATGCTACCAGGCTTCCGATGGTTTTTGAGGAAAATAGAATTTCTCTCTCTAAGTATTTGGCAGAGGGAACACTTCCTCTATTCACTGAGCACTGGTGGATGGGGTGGGTGAGTGAGGCCCAACCCTTGGTATCAGGTGTTTGGGAAGCTAAAGAGGGGCTGTGGGCAGGAGCAGGCTTCATGGCAGGAACTGGTAAGTTCTGAAAAAATGAGGGAGTAACAGAAGACAGCCCAACAGAAGGATTGGCCAAGTCCCTTGAACGCTGCATTTTCCCTATAGCTAGGGGAAGGGGCTACAGTGGGAGGGATTCAGAGCCTCCCTCATCCAGTAGAAAATCAGCTACATATGCTGGTTTTGACGATGCTGATCTGAGACTATGGGAGGTGGCTGTGACTTCTTAGTGTTTCCATATCCTGACTCTTAACAGTATGCTGCAATGTTTGATCTTGTTTTTCAGAAATTGCTCAAGTTATTGCTTCATATACCGCCACTGGTCCTGAGCAACTTACCTTGGCCCCTGGTCAGCTAATTTTGATTCGAAAAAAGAACCCAGGTGGATGGTGGGAAGGAGAGCTGCAAGTTAGTTTTTTGGTTTTTTTCCTATTTATTTAAAATTCTAGTTTGTTTGAATATACAAGATGGGGGCAGTATTTTATTGCAAAGTACAAAGAACCCATCACTGCCTAAATCTTGCATTTGAATAATGAGAAATACCACTTTATCTGAATCTGGTTCCTAAGTTTCAGCCAGCCAGTAGCAATGTCTGGATTCTGAAAACTAGGAATTCATTTTAAAATTTATCCTTTCAGGCCCTGTGCGCCTACCTATAATCCCAACAATTTGGGAGGCTGAGGCAAGAGGATTTCAAATTCAAAGCCTGCTTCAGCAACTTGGCAAGACCCTGTTTCAGAACAAAACAAAAAAAAGCTGAAAGCACCCCACATTCAATCCCTGGTACCAAAAATAAATAAATAAAATTCATCCATTCAGTTTGCAAGTTCAACTCACTCGAGATTCACTGTTGGTACAGTGAGAATTCATAGGATGACAGATGCCTGGGTAGAGCCGTCCTTGAGGTCTTGGCATCCTAAAGTGGAGTATCTCACCAGTCATGTCAGGAAGCACGTTGCAGTAGCAGGTTCCTTTTTATATAAAGCCACATCTGTACATCATGCTGTTTTTAGTTTGTGTGTTTGTGGTGGCGTTGTTGTTATTCTTATAGCTTGTTATTCATGTTGCCATTCCAGAAACCTCCTTTAAGTCTTTCAAGAGGAAATAATAGTTTTAAAAGGATTACTGTCACATCAGCATTGTAAAGATTAATAGAATCGTCATTAGATGCCAAACCTAAGGGGAAGTTTTTAGTAAGGATAGAAATTGCTTATGGTCTTTGAGTGACTCCCACAGAGAGACCACATATAATTTGCACAGTAATTATACCATTGAGAACTAAGTTACCACTCTAATCAAGTGATTAAAGTGATCTTCACCAGTGAGGACAAATGGACGTAATATTCATCCAAACATGCTACCTGAAAAAGACAGTGTCATATACTATTGTGGCTAGAAGTGCATCAACTGAATCTAATCATGCAGAAGCATTAAATAAACTCAGAATAAGGAATGTCCAATTAAGGGGGCAGGGAGAGGCTGTATTCTTCAAAGACGTCAATGACAAAACTCATAGAAAGGAGATAAAAAGAGACATGACTGCTGATGGCAATATCTGACTTGATCCCACATGAAACAAAAACATGCTCTTAAGGATGTTACTGCGATAATGGACAAAACTGGGATGTGGACACCAGGTTAGATAAAAAATTTTCTTTTTTGGTACTGGGGATGAAACCCAGGACACTGTACCACTGAGATACATCCCGACCCTTTTATTTCGACCCTTTTATTTTTGAGACAGGGTCTCACTAAGTTGCTTAGGTTGGCCTTAAATTTCTGATCATACTGTCTCAACTGCCTGAGTAACTATGGTTACTTTTATTTAATTAACTATGGTTAATTTTATCTAAGCCAGGCATCATTGAGCCTGGCTTAGATAAAATTATTGTACCAATTTACTAAAATTGAAATGCATACTATCGTCCTATGAGAGACTATTCCTATTTTTAGTAAATACCCATTGAATTATTTAGGGATAACCAGCATAATGTAAGCAAATTGTAATCAGGTAATTCTGATAAAGAAAATACGGTGAAGAGGATATGGGGGTAGGGAGAGAGAATGTGCAAATAATGAAACAGATGGGATAAAATGTTAATAACAGGTGAATCTAAGTAAAGGGTGTTATATACTTTTCTTGTTCTTGCTGCTTTTCTGATAGTTTCAAATTATTTCTTTTTTCCAGTTTTTAAATTAATTTTTTTATTTATATATGACAGCAGGATGCATTACAATTCTTATTACATATATAAAGCACAATTTTTCATATGTTGTATACATAGTATATTCATACCAATTTGTGTCTTCATACATGTACTTTGGATAATAATGTCTATCACATTCCACCATCATTTATAACCCCCTGCCCCCTCCCTTCCCTTCCCACCCCTCTGCCCTATCTAAAGTTTGCCTTTTCCTCCCATGCTTCCCCTCCCTACCCACTATGAATCAGCCTCCTTTTATATCAGAGAAAACATTCGGCATTTGGTTTTTTAGGATTGGCTAACTTAACTTAGCATTATCTTCTCTACCTGCAAGTGCCATGATTTTATTCTCTTTTATTGCTGAGTAATATTCCATTGTGTATATATGTCACTTTTTTTTTATTCATCTTTTGAAGGACATCTAGGTGGGTTCCACAATTTAGCTATTGTGAATTGTGCTTTTATAAACATTGATGTGGCTGTGTCCCTGTAGTATGCTATTTTTAAGTCCTTTGGGTATAGACTGAGGATAGAGCACTAATAGTGAGATAGAGCACTAATCTCTAGGGTATATAAAGAACTCAAAAAGATAAGCACCAAAAAAAAACCCCAAAAACAAACCCCAATCAGTAAATGGCCCAAGGACCTGAACAGACACTTCTCAGAAGATGATATGCATACAATCAGTCAACAAATATATGAAAAGATGTTCATCATCTCTAGCAATTAGAGAAATGCAAATCAAAACTACTCTAATATTTCATCTCACTCCAGTCAGAATGGCAGCTATTATGAATACAAACAACAATAAGTGTTGGCAAGGATGTGGGGGAAAAGGCACACTCATATACTGCTGGTGGAACTGCAAATTGGTGCATCCAATATGGAAAACAGTATGGAGATTTCTTGGAAAATTGGGAATGGAACCACATTTGACCCAACTATCCCTCTCCTGGTCTATACACAAAGGACTTGAAATTATTTCTAAATAAAAAGTTGCTTTAAAAATTTACTTCTATAGCAAAATTACATGGCTGTAGCCATGGGCTTCACATCCACAGATTCAACCAACCATGGACTGAAATTGAGAAAAATTTGTATCTGTATTGAAAATGAGTAGACCTTTTTTTTTTCTTGTCATTCTCTAAACCGTGTCATGAAACAACTATTTGCATAGCATTTACATTGTATTTGGTGTTATAAGTAATCTGCAGATGGTTCAAAATGTATAGGAGGTTGTGCACAGGTTATATGTATATATATGTCATTGTATATAAGAAACTAGAGTATCCTTGGATTTTGGAATCTGGAGAGGTCTTGGAACCACTCTCCTCCTCCCAGATACTTAAGTCTGCTGACTGTTGAACAGGAAGTGTTTGCCTCCTACACGCAACCTCCCCCACTACAAAAGTGAAGACCAACCTGGGTGACCCAGGGTCCATCTTGCTTCATAGCACAGTGTGAAGAACATCTTACCCACATGGGCAGCCCTTAGGGACCTGCCAAAGGGAAAGTTTTCCAATTAGCCTTCTGGCCTTTGTGCAGAAGGGATATGTGTGGTAAGCTACACCGAGATCTTCCTTTATGGAGTCAATCTTGAGGCCTGCTGCATGACACGGGGGCCTCAGTACTTGCCGAGCATGTGAACAAGTGGTTTCTAGAATCCCTTTTATGAGAATCCTACTGTCCTAAGGAAGGAGCTTGCAGTGATCCTCAGGTGTCCACTGGTGTGCTGTGGGCTGGTTGTCACATCTGTGCTTTTCATCTGGCCCTGAGCAGCACTCTGCAGATAGCCAAGATGGGGGAGGGAAAGAGAAAGTTTGCTTACAGGGTGCTGGCTGTGGAAGGCACCTCAACAAGTACTGAAGAGCAGGGATTAGAGCAGCCCAAATGGGAGGCACGTAGCTCAGGAAGGAAGGAGGACTTGAAGAAAGTCCTCTGCTCACTGTTCTGTCCAGACCAACCCTGGCTGAGTAGGGGAAGATCCATACTGTAGTGAGCTGGACATACTGTTCCCTCTGGACTAAAGACTGTCCATTAGAAGAGAAGGCATGATAGCCGGGAGTGTGCCTAGTGGTGAAAGTTCCCTGGGAACTCGCTGGTGAGCAGCCATAAAAACCCTGTCCAGAAGCGCTTGCTAGATACAGCTTCCTGGCTGAGGGATCTGACCTTTGGAGTCCTGGAAATCCACTCTCCTTTGTAATGTGCCTGTTTTTGCACTGGGCAGGGAGAGGAGAGGGCTTGCTCATGTCAGGGAGACCATTACCACTGGCCTTGCCATCTACGTGTTCCTTTCCTTCTCTGAAGACTCAGTGGCTCCCATTGCCTTTCCCCTTCAGCCTGCCTGTGGAGGCTTCCTGTTGTGCCCCTTCTTCCCTGTACCACCTTACACTCTTTAGCAACCATTCCAGACTTATTGGACAATTTGTTTAAAACCACCAACATCGGGCTCTTGTACTTAGCTGCCTTGGCTCCTAACATTCCTCCCTGTGGGGTTGACCCTCTCTGATTTCTCAAGAGTTAGCCAAAGCCCACTTCCTCTAGAGGCTTTCTGGGCCATCTCAGCCAGGAGCACTGCCTCCTTTCCCCTAAATTTGGGAATGGTCCCCTGCCAGCTTCACCCTGGTGTTCCACAGATGACGTTGGTATGTTTCTTAGCTTTCCCGTAGTTATTTCCATGTGTAGGCAACCAGCTCTTTATAAAGGCAGCACATTTTTAGTCCTTATCTCCTAACACCTTGCTCAAAGAGAGTTTTGGTGGTTCTTGGAACCCTCTGTAAAATGGATTCCCATGCCCAGGATAGCTTCTGGTGCTTTACAGAGTCCCTCTTGGCCTGGATTGACAAATGAAGAAATTATCAACAGGCTCTGTTTTCTGCTTTTGTAGAATTGCAGAGGTGGGGACAAAGAGAATTCATTGCAGTTGTAGATAGATAAATATGTGCAATTGTGTAAGCTTTTTTTTTGAAATGTTGGGCAGATTTACCATGAGAGTAAATGCTTTAGTCTTTGAGCCAGGGGCATGGAGACTGTCAGACACAAGGAGGGTGAAACCAAATGTACATCCTGAAAATAACTCAGAGGGCCAGGCACAGTGGTGCAGGCCTATAATCCCAGCATCGTGAGAGGCTGAGGCAGGAGAATTACAAGTTTAAAGTCAGCCTCAGCAACAGCAAGGCCCTAAGCAATTCAGCGAGACTCTGTCTCAAAATAAAATATTAAAAAAGGGTAGAAGGTGTAGCTCAGTGTTTAAGAACCCCTGGGTTCAATCCCCAGTACTGGAAAAAAAAGTAACCCAGAGATATCCTTGGTAAGTTGGCAGAAGGGAGGGCAGAAGTAGGGTGATAGAAGTTTTCCTCTTAGTTTTATTTCCTTATTTTGGGAATAGGTATTATATTCATGTGGTTTAAATTTCAGAAGTTATTAAAAGGGATTCAGATCTCTCCCTTTAAACCCCCTGTCCTCAAAGGCAACTGCTTTCAAAAGGGTCTTGTTTCTAGAGATAGCCTGTGTGTGTGTCTGCCTGTCTATGTGGAACTGTATTGGAATTGCAAGCTTTGGCTCACCAATTATAAGCTCTTCATATCATGCGTGAACTCTTTCTGACAATTATCTCAAATGTAAGCACTCAGTAGATGGAATTTGTATTGAATCAGATTGAGCAATGGAGAAAAGAGTGACAGTGAAAATGTGGTTATAGCTGTGACTTGGGCCTGATAGTGTTTTGAAAACAGTGTGAAGTCGAGACTTCTTGTGATCTGTGGGTCCTGCATCTACATCTTTTTGCATCTTAGGGTGTATTATTACAAAGAGTGCAGGCATGTAACTCTTGGCTTACCACTTACCAACCTCTAGCCTTTGGACTGTCATATACCTTTTCCAAGCTCACTTTCTTCCTTGAACTTGGGAATGATAATAGCATTGTCCCTTTGGAACTATGTGAATAAATGGATATAAGATGCTTGGCAGAGCTCATAAAAAGCACTTACTGTGTTTTGATGGCCATCATTGTTATTATTCCTAAAACCCAAATGTAATGTTGGAATTAACTATAATCTCCACATTATCTGAAATTAGTAGCTAAGTATTAACTGGTTTTCTGAATATTCTGAATTTTAAATCCACAGGATCCAGTCCTTTTAAAGCCATTTCAGGGTTGGCTGACCAATGGCTGCAACTGTTTGAATTTTCACAACATCTTATTTTTATGTCATGGTGATCCATAGATTCTACGTTTATGCCATTTGTATTTCAGTTCTATATAAACTTTGCATAAGTGTTCTGCTACAAAGCAAATTGTATCATAACAGAAGATGAACATTTATAAATTTTTGATCCAATTATTTTCTTACCAGGCACGTGGGAAGAAACGCCAGATAGGCTGGTTCCCAGCTAATTATGTCAAACTTCTAAGCCCTGGGACAAGCAAAATCACTCCGACAGAGCTGCCCAAGTCAGCGGCATTGCCGGCAGGTAAGGAGTTCTCAGTCTCATTGAAAAATGACCTGCATGCATGTCACTTCAGTTCTCCCATGCAGTCTTCTCATTAAGTATTTTAAATTGTTTTTCACATGTGCATTAAGCACTTCTTGTACTTCTGGAACTGACCCCCAGCTAATGTGATACAAAATGCTTTTCAAAAGGACTAATATCTAAGTAGCTTGACTGTGCTGGGCACAACAGAGCCCTTGTTGGAACTCTTCTCCTGAAGGAGTCATGAATGCTGTGGCATTAAAGCCAGATTTTTCTCTTGATTTCCTTCCAGCTATTTAAATTGAGATTTGGACTAGTAGATGAGGCCGCAGAGAGGGGCTCCTAAAAATAAATGGCTGGGGTCTAGATAGGTCAGGAGATGGAGCTGAAGGCCACGAGGATCTGTTGGTTGCAGTGTGTTCACAGAAGACTGAAATAACTCCCTGTGACATTTACTGTGAACAGAGGGGGCCTCGCTGAATGGGCAGGATGTTGTGCAGGCTTTCCTAGAGAACTAAAAAGGACAGCACTGCAGTTGACCCGGTTGACTATTTTCTGATCTAAAGGACTAAATTAGATGCTTCAGTAACATTTGAGAGAGGTGAGGGTAGGGAGCAAATTGCTGCTTTAGGTCCTTTAGACACCAGTTCTTAGGTGGCATTTGTGGGAAACATGAAATTTTTGTTCCATTACCTTGTGGTTAAATGTCTACATGGTGTCTTTAGTGAAATAAGATTAAAATTTGGCAGCCTTTGCAAGAAATTGAAGGATTGGTAAACTTCCTGAGTCCTGACCCCAGCTGAGCCTCTTTCCTCAAACAGAGACCTGTGTAGGCAGAGGGGTATAGTACCAGCTGTATCCACTGTCCCCTGAGGAAATCTGGTGCCCCCGATTGTCAGTGTGCAGCTCCCTTCATCAGGTAGATTGGAACCCACTGAATTTATCTGTTGAGGTGATTAATTTAGCTAACTGGAGGGTTGAAAACTCTGAACCTATACAAAGATGGCTATGAAAGATTAATTGGAGACTGTGACCCAATGGTGCAGAATTCTCCAAAGTGTCAAGATGGCAGAGAATGAAAATAATTTAACTTCCTGTAGATTTGAGAGAAAAGGAGAAAAATTGTTGACATGTGAAAATTTCTTTAAGACACAAAGATAAAGCAGAAAATTTTTTTAAAACACCCAATTTTACTTTACACTAATATTTGGAAGTTTTTGAAGGTCAGATAATAATTGCCTTTCACCTTTAAAAAAAAAGAAGAAGGAGCTGGGGTGTGCCTCAGTGGAAGAGCACTTGTCTACTTGCATGAAGCCCTGGGTTCCATCTGCAGTAACACACACACAGGAAATGACAGAGAGAGAGAGAAGTAAAAGTGATAGTGGAGTCCTATAGTCCCCAGCTGTCCCATACAGCGGAAGCTGGCAAGTGTCCTCTAGTCAGCATTAGAAGGAGCTCCACGTCCAAAGCCAGAGACCTGGTTATCACTCTAAATTATCTGCTGACAAGTAAACCCAAAAAAGAGGAAGGTGTACAAACCAAGGGCGTAGTGTGAAAATTTTGCTGTTGTCTTAATTTTGATCCTTCATCTTCCTCTATTGCCTGCACCATGAAAAGCCCCTTGGGGCACTTCCACTTCACTGTACGCTCTTTTTTTTTTTTTTTTTTTGGTACCAGGGATTGAACTCAAGGGCACTCAAACACTGAGCCACGTCCCAGCCCTGTTTTGTATTTTATTTAGAGACAGGGTCTCACTTAGTTGTTCAGCCCCTTGCTTTTTGTTGAGGCTGGCTTTGAACTCACAATCCTCCTGTCTCAGCCTCTCGAGCCACTGGGATTCAGGAGTGTGCTGCCACGCCTGGCTCACAGTACCTTATTTTGAAAGGGTAAAAACAATCTGTGAAAATGTCTGCTGGCCACAAGTGGCCCCTCACACATGTGCCAGCGAGGGTGTGCAGCTGCTCACCCAGCCCTGTCTTCTGCAGTGTGCCAGGTGATCGGGATGTATGATTACACTGCGCAGAATGACGACGAGCTGGCCTTCAGCAAGGGCCAGATCATCAACGTCCTCAACAAGGAGGACCCCGACTGGTGGAAAGGGGAAGTCAATGGACAAGTGGGGCTCTTCCCATCCAACTATGTGAAGCTGACCACAGACATGGACCCAAGCCAGCAATGTAAGTGCCTTGGTGGCTCTGTTCCTCTCCTCTCTGGTACCTTCCAATGAAACATGCAGCATTGCTCTGATTCTGCTGAGCTTGGTTTGCAGAACTTAAAGCTAGACCACTGCTGCATTCACAACCGTCTCTTTGAAGACCTTCTGTAATGCAAAACTTTATCTCGTGGGGTTGTTTTGTTTTTGTTTTAAATTTTCATTCCTTCTGTAGCATGTCCCCTCCCTTCCCTCCCCCCTTTTTCCTATTTTTTTAAAATCATTTGGCACCATGCTGTTGACATGCCCAACTCATTTTCCTAGCTTGAATTTTGCTCATTGTTTTGTTTTGCTTATGTGTTGTTTTCCTCCTTTTTCTAGGAATCATATGTTGTCCATCCCCCCCTCAGGCTTGAAAGTCCTCAAAGAGACCCACTATCCCATATCACTGCCCAGAGGGATGATGGGAGATGCAGCCTTGATCATGTGACTTCCAGCATGATCACCTACTGCCTTCTGAGTAGAAGAACTCACTGCAGAGCAGTTTACCTCATTTTACCGTAGTTGCATGTGATCGCAATGTTTGAGTTATTACTTGCAGAGACAGAAGCAAAAATTACAAAAATACACAGGGTAGTGGGTCCTTTTGTGGCTTTCCTAGTTACTCAAATTGACTTCCCCCACCTTTGCACAGGTGCTTTCAATAGTTTTAAGATTATTTTTAAATATATATATATTTTAGCCTTTTAATAAAAATCAATCAATCAATCATTTCTTTGCTATTTTGGTTTTGCAAAAAGACCCACTATCAAGGAATGCTGCATGTGCTATTAAAAATTGTTCCAAGTGTCCATAAATCTGAGACTTGTATTTTTCATTTTGTCCAGTGTTACCAACTAAATTGTGTAGTTTGGGGTTTTTTTCCCCCTACCGTAGCAGTACAGAGGAGTTCAGTGTATGTTTTGAAGATGTGTAGAGTGAGCCCAATTAAACAGAAGGTGTTTTGTGCTCGTGTGTATCAGATGTACTCGTTGCGCATGTAATCCATCCTGTACATAAGAAATGAGTTCTCCCCATGGCAAACGCTCTTGTATGATATCTAACTACATTGCATTAATTTTATTTTGCACAGTGACCTTGTAGCCACATGAGAAAGCACCTGTGTTTTTGTTTGGTCTCAGATTTATCTGGTTGAGTTGGTGTCTTGTTTGGGGTTTTTAATTTTGTGTGTTTTCATACCATAAATCAGTAGATGACACCGCTGAGGTTGTTATGATCCACAGTGTCTGTAGTCCCTCTAGTCTCTGTTACATGAAGTTTTTATTCCAATTACTTTTGTTGGAATGACACATTTTGAACAAGTAATTTTCTTGACAAGAAAGAATGTGTAGAAGTCTCCCTGCAATTAATTTCCAATGTTTACATTTTTTAACTAGACTGTGGAATTTCTTCAGATTAATATGAAATGGAGCTCATGGTCATTCATGTGTTAGCCGTGCTGTAGCTGAAGCCATGTTTGTCTCTTAAATACTCATTGAAAGCTCTCAATAAAAATGCCAGTTGCTGACAGCACAGAGGTGGGGTGGGGGGCTCAAGCACAACCCAGCTGTCCTGTTAATGACTCTGTAACAGGTTGTCCCTTCTGTGTTCACATCTCGGGAGGCTCTGTGCTGGCGGTTGTGTGGAGTCCTCCACTTGCACGGTGCAGAGGACGAGGACAGCTCCTCCTCGTCCACCTGCGCTGCAGTATTTTCATGATATGAATGTAAAATATATAAATATATAAACCTGCGGCTTTAACAACTGTAATACAACCTTTTGAATTAGTTACGTGTATAGATAATTAAATTCTTCATACAAAAGTTAGACGGAAATGTCTCTGTGTTCTTGCTGTTGGAAGCTGGCAATGGTGAGGGACACTATACAGAACAGATGTCAGCAGTTGGCCTGCTGCCCACAGGGCAACTGTGGCATGTGCCTTCTGAATACAGACATGATCCACTTCTCGAGGGGTCCTGGTTGACTGGCCCTCGCTCTCCCTGTGGTACTCCCCATCGATATGTAAACGATCGCTCCTTATAACGCTGGTTTAGTGGTCAGCTGTCATTGGTAAATGTCATCCACACATTGGCAGGTATGTGATTCAGTTCAGGATACAAAACATTTGTCCAAAAGAAGTATCACAATAAGAGACTGGTGAACACTCCAAATCTATGTGGCTAAAAACAGAGACCTGCACATTTTCCATGTCATCGTTTGGGATTTGCTTCTGCCTGGTACTCTCTAGTCTTGTCACTTTTGCAGAAATAAGTGAGCTTATACATTGATGGCTCTGTTGGCCACGGTGACCACGTGCTTAATTCCATTGTCATGAGCCTCACTTATTGGCCCTCCCTTGCCCTTCAGTGAAAAGTGATATCTTTTGTCATTTCAGCAAACATTTGGGAGGAGACATCTTCCATGTATCGGGTGTCTTGACAGATTCTGGGGAGAGTGCGGCATTTGCTAGGGCAGGGTCTCTGTCCTCGGGGAGTCATGGGAGTATCAAACAGAAAACTAAACCTGCGGAGTTCATTTACATATACAGGGGACATGTGCAGTAGGTGATAAGTATTGCACCTGGAAAAGTGTGGGTGCCAGGTGCCACCGAGTGGGCCATCCAGAGCAGGTGGGCCCTGGGGAAAGAAACCAGAACCTTTCCAGGAGGAAGTGACATGAAGCTGAGATCTGAAGGGTAAGGTGAGCCAGTTGGAGTAGGAAGAGAAATGACTGCGATGGAGGGGTCAGGACATGCAAAGGCCCAGAGCCGGTAGAGAGGATCTCCTCCTGGCCCAGCCCACCCTCTGTGGAACACAGTCAAGTCGGTAGGCCCATCTCTCCCCGGGTTCTTCACCTTTGTAAGCCAGGGTTCCTTCTTGAGCCTTGAGTGGAGCTGGAGTGTAGTTCAAGGTGGGTAAGACTCAGTGGTACTCCATGTTCCTCCTCCTCTCTGACCCAGGCTTCATTCTGGGTTGGTGAAGCTGGCACAGGTTACGCCTCACAATTTATTCAATTGGTGCTGGTTGTAGACTCTCCTTCTGACCCTACAGTTCTCAACTAGAGGTACTGCGGGCATCTAATGGGTAGAGACTAGGAATGCTGCTCAATACCCTGCAGTGCGCAGGACAGTCCCCATAATAAAGAATGACCTGGCCCCAGATGCACCAGTGCTGAGGTTGAGAATCTTGGTCTTATCTCATTAGCCACTGTGTGAATTTTACTTAGGCTAAAATGGTAGGCCTGTTGGTGAATCCTGGGGTTGGTTTGGTAACTATAGATGAGTAAAAATCATCGTTTAAAAAGCTTATCTCATAGAATGTGTGCCAGGACCTTGGTTATATATTTCAGAATTTTTTGATTGTTCCCCGTATTGTCTGCATTTGGTACTAGATTAAACTAAAATCGAATAACTTTATTTTAATTAAATTCTCCTAGTTGAAATGGGGAAGGGATGTGAGGTATCTCCTTTGGCCTGAGAGCTTAAAGGTGTCAGGTTTTGTTTTCTGAGCTGTTAAGCATAAATAGTGTCATTAAATCTTTTAATTTCATATCAGTGTGTGTGAATGTACTTACAACTGAACTTGGGGTGGAGTTTGCTCCAGTGGCATATTTTAAAAAAGGGTCCAAGAGAAATCACCTTTGTTATGCGCTTGGAAGTTGCCCTCCAAAGGCCTCTGCCCCTCCCCTCTAGGCCAGACACAGCAGGCCCCACGTTTCCTCTGTGTAGGAGACGCTGCTCAAAAGAAAGGCTTTATCCTGCCGGGTGCCTGTAATCCCAGCAGCTCAGAAGGTTGAGGCAGGAGGATCCCAGTTCAGAGCAATGGCAAGGCGCTAAGCAACTCAGTGAGACCCTGTCTCTAAATAAAATACAAACTAGGGCTAGGGATGTGGCTCAGTGGTTGAGTGCCCCTGAGTCCAATCCCTGGTACCCTCCACCCCCACCCCACAAAAAAGGAAGATTTATCCTTTATAAAGTGATAAAATACTACAGAATTACATGTATGGTGGAAAGTAGTGTCCGACCCATTTTGGGAGGGGCTTGGGCAGATCCGGACTCCATCGCAAATGACAATTGGGTTATCCAGCAGGACTGATTATGGGATGGATTTGATACCATTGGGAGAAAAACTTAGTGACACTAAGGAAAACCCTTTAACTAGGTGGTTTAGCTTACTAGTTTGTTTTTGGTGGCACTGGGAATTGAACCCTGGGGCACTCTACTACTTAGCTGCACTCCCAACCCTTTTTTAAATTTTTTATTTTGAGACAGGGTCTTGCTAAGTTGTCCATGCTAGCCTTGAACTTGCAATCCTCCCACCCCAGCCTCCTGAGTAGCTTGGATTCCAGGCATGCACCACCACGCCTGGCAGTATTATTGTGTCTTACTTATAAAATGCACCCCAATTTCCTCAAGATAAAGGGGTGAACTAAAGGTGGGGGATTGAAACAGACCCTTTGAAATTAAAGCTCTGAATAGTTTTAGCTCCCAAACTTCCTGTCTTGGGTGGGTAAGTCTTTGCTGTAGCCTTCACATATTAACCTTGTTATGCCAATCGTCAAGGTAACAAATGTATAAAAGAGTTGTACAGTTGCATTAAATCAGTAGTTTTTAGGGCTGGGTTTGTGTCTCAGTGTAGAGCGCTTGCCTAGCGTTTGGGAGACACTGGGTTTGATCCTCAGCACCACATAGAAGTAAATAAATAAATAAAGGTATTGTATTCATCTATAACTAAAAAATTATTTTTAAAAAAATCAGAGTGCGTTTTTAGATTAAGTAGGCCATGTTGTGATCCAAACTTCTCTCAGGAGTTCCAAGATAGAATTTGCACTTTTCACTTTCTCCCAGACATGATGCTAGTTCTCCATATCTCTTAATGTCTCTTTCAAATAAATTGGCACCAAACAACCCCAGTGAGAGACAAGACCAAATATTTCTGTCAAGCAAACCGTTCAAGAAAGAACTCCAGCATGCTTTCAGAGATGGCCAAATTGGCTAAAAAGCCCCGGACAACTGGAAAGGAAGGCTGAGCATTGGCGTGCACTGCTGGGAAGACTAGGAAGCAACCAAACTGGGCTCACGGGTTCCTAAAATTAGTTCATTTTTCCATTTCAATCCAAGGCAGCAAAGACAATCGGTGCTGGCTAAGGAAATGGAAGTAATCCCAACACAAAAAGTAAGTTTCAAAGCTGCAGAGGCATCCCTTACCGCTTCTCTCCCCTGGAGTCAGCTACCCACGGGCGATGGGTCGTCCTGCTAGAGTCGCCACTCTGTTCCTGGCAGCCAAGCCAGGGAACCCGCCTGGACCCCGTGACCACATTTAGCTGGCCATCCACATAAATAAGCAAAAGGAAAGGAAAAACGAATTTAATGCAGTTTGATCCAACTGGGAGAAGCAAACAGCAATTTCGTATGGCTCAACCCCATACAGTGTGTCGGCACCCTGCCCTGGCGTGTGGCGGTTAGTGAAAATGCCTGTGCGAGGAGTGAATCAGTCACATGAACTGACTGTGGAAAGTGGTCACCTGTGTCCAGATTCCTGACACCCACCACATCTCCTTCCAAGAGCCCACCAGGATGTCCCCACTTTTGTTTTCCTTTAGAGCCAAGCTTCCTGGAAGGAACGCTGTTGGAAGAACCCCGGAGGGAGCTGCTTCTGGAGTCTGGCGCTCAGCGTGTGCAAGGAGGCGGAGGAGCTGGGCTTTGGCCTGGGCAGTCCCACCCAGATAAGGAGTCAGGCCTGCTCCCTCGCAAATTGAAAATCATTTCTGAGAGTGATTTTCTTTTTCTTTTGCAAAACTATACTTAATCTTATTTATTTATTTATTTTAGTACCAAAAATGTGTGAGAGCTTTTAGGAAAACCATATTGAGTGTCAGTGATCACAACAATGTATAGAGAATGTCTGATATTTTGGATTTGGTAGGGTAGACAAACATAAGCTCAAATGGTCTAAAGGTTGAGATAACCTTATGTGAATATTTCACTTCAGCCAGAGTTTTGGGGGGCTTTTTTTTGTACAGGTTGCTTAACCCCTGAGCTACAACCCCATCCCTTTTTATTTTTTATTTTGGGATAGGGTCACATTAAGTTGCTGAGGCTGACCTCAAACTTGCAATCCTCTTGCTTCATGAGTCACTAGGATTGCAGGTATGTACCTCCATGCCCAACTTTTGGCCCTTTTTAAAAATACCCCACATATGCAAAAACAAGACTTCCAGAATATTTTCTGATGTGTAGTTAGCTAATCCACGTCAAAGGGTTCTGTAGCCTCCAAAGAAGACTCTGTTCTCTGTGTTCCCCCAGAAATTTTAAATTATGACTTCATTCACAAAAATTAAAGGTGTTGATAAAAACAAATGAACATCAACTATAAGAAACCTGTACATTGTATCTGTGGGACTCCCTGGTAAGCATGCTAACTCCAAGAAGCTACCTGTTTTGTTTTAATGGTGTCAGCTGTGTGTGTGTATGTGTGTGTGTGTGAGAGAGAGAGAGAGAGAGAGAGAGAAGGAGGAGGAGGAGAGGAAGAGAGAGGAGGAGAGAGACGTGCAGGTAACTCAATGCCTTCATCTGTAGGTTGGTGACAGTGGGTTGTGGGGTGAGATCAGGGTACAGTAGAAAGCAGACAGACACCACTCTGGAAGATTCTGGCAGAGATTTACAACTGCTATTTCCACATCTTCTTGGCACGTGGTTTCCAAGCAATGTTGCAAGCCTCAAAGAGGAAGTGTCCCTCCCTTGACTCAGCCCATCATATATTTTTTATTCTGAGCATTCCTTCCCTTGATGCAGTTCTCTGAACTCTGACCCAGAAGAAGGGAAGCATTGTGACCAGCCAGTGTCATTTAGGGAACTGTGCACTCCTGAGGCCCCTGGTTTCCCCTCAGTGCCCCTTTCTGTCCCTTCTCTTCTCTGTCCCTGTCACCCACGATCATGCACACAGAACCACTGTGTTGCATTCCAGGGTCCACTGGGAAAGGGAGCAAAGGAGTGAGGGCAGATGCCCTGTGGATTATTTGGTGATGTTGCAATCTCAGGGAAAGTTGACAGCGGCAACACTGAGGCTCTAGGGAGACAGTGTGTTCTGAAAAGAGCTCTCATCTCCACAGAAAGAGAGGGATGGGTCCCTCTTCCCTAGTGTGAGTCACATACTGCTGGGATTTGCAGGAGCTCAGAACCGTTGGTAAGCATTTCATACACTGGTGCACATTTTCAATGCACAAACTCCATGCTGGCTCACCTCACCCTGTATATAGGCCTTGACAGAGTTTTCCAAAGACAGGCTTGGCCTTGCTCTGTGCCAACTATAGCTTCTAAATTTCCATTCCTGGCTGCCACCAGAGACCACGGTGCCATATAGAGTCAAGCTGCTTATCTACAAAGTTCAGTCTAATATTTGCTCCATGTCTTTTAGAATGTTGGAACATTTTATTTTCCTATAAGCAACTTCCTATAGGAAGAAGGGGGCTCAGGCAGGAGGGGTTTGGGGTATCAACATAGCTGCAGTCGGGCTGGTAGTTCAGAGAAGGGGTTCAGATCCCATTTCTGCCACTTACCAGTTGGGTGATGTGGGCACGTTATTGAACTTCTTTGTGCTTCAGTGACCTCATGTATATAAGGAGAGACTTATAATGCCTGGGAGAGAGTAAGCACCCAACAGATACAAGCTTTGTGGTGTCGTTCTTGGAGAAAGGGCATTTGTACCTGGGGGGTAAGCATCACAGGATCCAAAAAAGTGGCTTCCTGCTTGTGTGCCTGCAGTGAACCCAGGCAGTCGGTGGGTTGGGTGCCTTTGTGGATTAGGGATTTCAGAGAGGGATTGGTCAGCTTCCCTAAATGCCCTCAGATGGCTCTCTGCAAGCGTGCCCCACTCATCTACAGATTACAGCCCAGTCCCTCCATCTGCAGAAGACCCACCTGCGTGGAGACAAGCAGCTTTTTTAAAAGCATTTTTCCTGCATTCCCAAAACACGCGGTGATGCGCTTGGTCCCTAGACCAGCGTCACCCCAGCAGACTGTTGGTGGCTGTGGCTAAGCTGCCTGGGTTTCACAGGGCTGACAGGGCGGCCAGCAGGGGAGGATGGAATGTGCAAGGCTGTTAAATGTCACGTCTGTGGACTGTGTTGGCAGGCCCATGCCGCGCTCCACAATAAACCTGTCACAACTGCCTTGAGTCACTGGGTCCTTTATTTCTCATCACAGCCTTCTGTGGCCTTGTGTTCTCTTGCCAGCAAAGAATGGAACGTTCAGCGCCCGCCCCCCCAAGCCAGCTACTGGGTTTTTTTCCTAAGCAGTCAGTCCTGCAGCTTGGGTAGGGACATGTATGTGTCTCCCCAAAGCACCCGCCCCAGAGCAGCTGCCCCCAGCCAGGTGAAAGACTAGGAGGCTAATTCTGCCCCCACTCAGCCGCATGCATCCCAGGTGCCTCTCGGGGCCCAGGCCTTGGATGCCTCTGCTTGGATGCCAGGCCTCTGGCAGAGGAGGCAACACCAAGGAGGCCTCTTTGCTCTCTGGAGCGTTGCCATGGAGTTTTGAGGCCCCGAGGGAAGGCCCCACAGTTTGAATCCACCATAACAGCCCTCCACTGACTTGGAATCCAGTAGAAAACCTCACCCCCTATCCAAGGGGCAGAAGCTCATCTGCCAGTTCTCTCCTGCCTTTTTCCTCCCCTTCTGCTGAATCAGAGGTTCTGGAGACTGGAGGGGCTCCCTCTCCTGCTGCTTCCTGGAAGTCATGGCCCTTGCCTGCAATCTAGAACTTTAACCTGGCAAGAAGATCTTGCTCAGCAGAACATAAGTAGACTGCATTTGAGGAACCTGTCAGAGCAGGAAGACACTGACAGACAGGTCAGCAGTTATTCCAGCCCATGATGGACAAAACTGGACAGAGTCCTTTGAAGATCATGGGAAGGAGCGGTCTCAGCCCAAGAAGCAGCAAGTGCTAAGGTCCTGGGGCCACCAAGCCATGCCTGCCCTTCCATAAGGAAGGCACAAATCTTCTGTCTGGTCTCTCTGCATCCATGCTTACCTTCCAGTCTCTTCATGTTCAGGCCATGTTCAAAGCTGTTTTAAAAATACAACTTCTGCTTAAAAACATCAAGGAGAAGTCCAGTTCTTGGAGTATAAAGCCCCAAATCTTCTAGTTGGTCTGCAGTACCTTGCCTGATTTTCCCCTTTCTCTGGCCTCTTGCCTCCCCTGTCTTTTTTTTTTTTTTTCCTATATTGCTCAGTTTCTAGCACAGCTCAGTGGTCACCTCTTGGGAAAGCCTTTGCTAGTCCCAGGGGCACTGGTTACCGCTCGGAGCCCCATGTTCTTTCTAGTTCTGTCACCTTTTGAGTTGCTGGGATGACCATTCACAATAGTCTAGGCTTTTGTGTCCCCAGCAGTTTCTCACCAGCCCTCCTGAGAACGCTCTTCCACCTTGCAGACTACTGCACGGAACAGACCATTTTTGTCACAAGTTGGAACCCACTGTGCCATCCTGGGCTCATGTTGGGAGGCAGTGAGGGGTGGGCAGCTAGCGATTCTGTGACCCAGTCTCCCCAAGACCCCTCTTCCTTTCAGGGATCCTGTGTGTCACCCATATAGTCAGGGGTGACCCATAGGCACTTGGGTCAATGGACCCCTCCATCTCCACAAGCTCTCACCACCTCCCAGGGCACCTGCATCAGATTTAAGTCTCTGGTGCACCTCGGCCAGGCAGGTCCTCACCCTGTCCCCCCACCTCTTCTGTCCTCCTGCTCTCTCTGCCATGTCCCTGCCTTGGCTCAGCTCTTTCCTGAACTCCTCATGCCTAACAGTGAGTAGACGGAGAGGCTGATGGGTAAACACGTAGATTCTCCTTCGTCCCTCATTGCACGGAGCTCCTTGGGGGCAAGGCACGTGTCTCTGTTACATCCCCGTTGCGATCTCCACAGAGGAGCTGTGGGTGTGACTCGGTGGTAAAGCACGTGCTTAGTGTACCCGAGGACCTGGGACCAATCCCCAGCACCCAACAAAGACCACCCCAGGAACAGCACTAACAGCAGTGCTGGACCCTTCCTTGTAGTCGACTTACTGTGGGGCCCCATCTCCTTGTTGATGGTAAGTCAGCCTCAGGGTTTCCCTGGCACACTTGCGTGTTCCCTGTGCCACCTCACTCCTGGGGAGGCAGCTCAAGAAGTGTTGGTGGTGGCCAGTCCTGGGTTGCCCTCCCCTGTTCCCCAGCAAGGCTGTGGGTGGGAGCATTACAAAGTCAACGTGTGTGGGGAATGCGCCATTGTCGAAAGAAGGAAATGAGCTTTTTTAGAGAGGGTGGGAGCAGGGAGTACCGGGGGGGATTGAACTCCGGCACTCGACCACTGAGCCCCAGCCCCAGCTCTATTTGTATTTTATTGAGAGACAGGGTCTCACTGAGTTGCTTAGCATCTCACTTTTGTTGAGGTTGGCTTTGAACTTGCAATCCTCCTGCCTCAGCCTCCCTAGCTGCTGGGATTTCAGGCGTGCAACACAGCACCCGGCAGGAAATAAGCTTATTAATCTTATAAATTGTGTTTCATTATTCTCATATCCACCCTACGTACTACCTGTTCATGCGCTTTTTGGTTTTCTGTCTCCCCCACTAGAAAGGAAGCTTCCCCAAGCAGGGACCAGGGACCCAGGCACATCTCCACAGGTGCTGCAACCGAGCAAGAAAAGTCTTGGGCTCAGGGCATCTCTTGTGTTCCAGCCGGGTCAGTTTGCCAAGGCCGAGAGAGATCAGGGGCCAGACTATTCTTAGACACCTCTGAAGGCAGTCCCTTTAGGAGGGAAGGTACACTGTTTGTCTGCACAGCCTCCAGAGACCGTCCTGGGGTTTCTCAACCAAGGATTGTTTTTGGAGAAGACCCATCTGCCTGGACCCATTCTGGTCACTGCCAGCCCCAACATCCCTGAGCTCAGAGCACCAGGAAGCTCCTGGGGACAGAGTGGCTGTGCGCCCTGCCAGGCCCACCCTTTGAAGAACTCTTGTGGCTCTATTTCCTGAGACTTCACAAGCAAAGGTTTTAGTCCTGATACAGGAAGTTGCCACACATTGCTGGATTCCACAATCCCACCCACAGACTGAGGACATTGGGGGCAGTGAGTGGAGTGACCTTTGAAGCCATCACATAGAGCTGGGGGTCGATGGTGGCACGGCGGACTCACGTGCGGCTGCCGGGGCACCTGGAGCAGAGCAGAGGGATCTGGGCTCCAGGTGGCAGATGGCCGTGGAGGGATGTCATTCTGTGGTCACAGCTATCAATGAAGCCTCTTTGGCCAATTGCTTGAGTGGCCTGCCATGGGCTGAATTCTGCCGAGCTTTATGGCAGCCCTCATGCTTACTGTACCTGGCCTGGCCTGGTTTCCAAATCTCCCTTCCTCCTCATCCCGGGTTCTGGATTTTCAGGCCATCTCCCCCATGGTGAGTGGTCCTCTGGAACTAGATAGGAGCTTTACAAAGGACAGACACCTGGGTCTCACGGTGGCAAGTCAGATTTCATTGGTCTTAGGTACAACTGGGATTGTAAAAAGCCCCGTGGATGACTCCAATGTGCAATGTGTAGTTCTAGGGCCACAGCCTCTTCCTCCATCCCACATAGGTTGCCACAGTGCTCCTCCCAACATAGCCCAGCTGCGCTGCTACTTGCGGCAGGCCAAACGATGGCTCCCAGGATTCACATGTTGGAGCCCAGATGCCTTAGAATATAGTTGAACTTGGAGATAGTGTCTTTTAAAAGGCATGAGTCAAAATGAGGCCTAGGTGGGGCCTAGTCCAATCCGACTGGTGTCCTTGTAAAAAGAGTCTGGATGCACAAAGAGACTCCGTGGATTTGCATGCAGAGGCAAGATTGTGTGAGAAGACACGGTGAGGAGGTGCGTGCCAAGGTGAGAGGCTTAGGAGAAACCAGCCTGCTAACATCTTGATCTCAGACTTCCAGCCTCCAGACAAAGTGATGGACATCAGTGGTTTTATCCACAGACTGTGGCACTGAACCCTGGCAACCCTAGAGTGGGGAGTGGTGACGAGGATCATGGTCTGTGACTGCCGCTGGGCTGTGGCTGTGCTGCTCCGGGAACTTTCAGTGCATGGTGCAGGACAAGATTGCCCAGTTGCTATGGTGATGCCCTGCTGGAGGAGGTTCTGTGCAAGGCATGGAATCCTATCAGTCTGGACCCTGAGTTCAGACACCATCTGCCGGAGATAGAGAATTATGAGCTCAACTAGGTAATTGTAATTGTTTGCCAGTGCTTCACCCTTCAAGCCTGCCTGCTTTGAAGAAACTTTCTCACAGAAAGTCTTTTGATGAGAAAACCTATATAATAAATGTGCTGAGCTAGCTCTTGGACACTATTCCTCCATCAGAGGATGGTGTCCCACCTGGTCCCAGCTTTCTCTCTACTAGCATTTGTTTGTCTTTCCCCCCATCACCCCTTGCCGGTTCCTAAGGTTTGGCCCTCAGGTCACGACACCCCAGCACACTGGTGGGCCCTGGGGTCAGCTCCCTGTTTATTAAAAAGACTTTGTCAACTTCTTTAACTTCTCTGTTCCTTGTTCTCTTCATCTGCTCCATGAAAGGTGACAGTAGCTACTGCAAAGGATTGTGGGTGAGGACTCAGTGGGTATCTATGCACGGGGCCTGGACTGCCAGCTCACTGTGGCAGTTGGGACTAACTCATTTTTCACTGTCACCCCTGTGTCTGCTTCCCTCCTCACATCTGTCCCCAGGGCTGCAGGACCCCACTCTGACGCCCTTTTGATCCAGTTGTTCATCACCACTGCCCACCCACCCTGATATTCTCCTGATGACATCTGGCTTGGTCAATTTCCTGCTGCTACAACAGAACACCTGAGATGGGGTGATGCATAAAGAAATCCCGTGGCAACAGTGCTGGAGGCTGAGACATCCCAGCCCCAGGGGCTGCATCTGGTGCAGGCCTTCCTGCCTGCCGAGTCATCCTACGGCAGAGGGGTGGAAGGACAAAATGGGCACACAGAGAGAAGGGAGTCGGACATGTCCTGTATCAGAAACCCACTCCTGACATGGCCCCGGTGAAGGCAGCGCCCTGGGGACCCAATCGCTCCGCAGGTCCACCTCTCCACACCTCTGCAATGGGGATGAAGCTTCCAACACGCGAACTTGGAGGGATGCATTCAGCCATAGCAAAGT